CCGAGTGCTGGTGGGGCGCAAGCTTTTAAGGGGGCACCCTAGCAACACCAACTCCTGCCCTCGCCTGCTGCCTCGGATACAGAGGAAGCAGTATGGGGTAGGGGCGGAAGCTGGTGCCAGCTCCCCAGCAAGCATCAGCTCCTGCCTGCCCCCCTCATGTAAACAAGTAATCACTGAATATTTTCAGCAATTACGCATTTACAAAAAATACATGCATTTTAACATCCCTATTCTGACCACAAAGCTTTCTCACCTATATTTTGAAATGTTGATTTTTCTTTGCTGCTGCAGATTTCATCAGCAAGTGCAACTGGCCCCAGAACACCCTGTTAGGGTCTCTTCTTTGTCTCTTATTCCTAATAAATACAAAGGCAGCAGCGCAGGGGGAGGGGAATGTGCATGTAACTGTGCACATGGGTACACGTTAACATTCCAAGGTCAGAAATACATCTACAACAATTTCAGTTTCTGTGTGACACTGACATTTATTCAACTAAAGCCACAAAGGCTCCATGTGAAGATCCTAGTACTTATTATTGGTCTTCCCTAGTTCATAGTTCAGATGAGAAATGTATAGCAAGAAATGTATGATAGAGATCAAATAAGTCTGGTGCTGAGTTTAAGGAACACAAAAAACTTCACAAAACATATTTTGATTTAAAAGAAAAAATGTAAAATATTTCTGCTATGCTGGGAGGTAGTATTGCCTCCACGAGGAAGATTGTAGTAATGGAAAATGGACTGTTGGAGACAAGCACATAGATAAAGAAGTGATGGTTGACAAAAGATATGCTTGGAGGATAAATCACTGTTATATTCAGACGATATTAGTGTTTTGGATAAATATTATATTTATTTGGATCAGTTAAACAATGCCAAATGTCTTCATCCCAAATCCTCCTGAAAATTCAATGGAGTCTCTAAAGAGGAAAAGATTACAAAATATCTTGAGGGTAAAGTGGTTGATCAAGAGGAGACTGAAGAAACTAACAGTGATTGTGGAACTTCTGAACTAAGCTCTGTTAGCAACCTGACTGGCAATGGCATACAACAAGAGAACAGTCATCTTGAAGTACAGGAGACATCTGAAAGAGAATATACTTTCAGAAGTAGTTTTGTGAAACTTTTGGATATTCTTGAGTTGAATAATAAAACAAAGCAGGAAAAAAACCAAGTTTCAATAGGCAAAGATATTTTTCATATTTGCTAAATTATGCATGTTGCATTAGTCAAGATATACAACAGTTACTTATGGCTACATGGGCAAACCCCTTTATTCACTTAGATTACTTGAAAGGATCAGTCAGGTCCATCTTTTGGAGGCCAGATTACTGAAAGCATCATTTCTTTTGAAAGTTTATTTTAATTCATTGATTTTTATATTATTTTTAAGGGAAATAAAATGAGATGTATAAAACCTCCAGTATAATTATCTGAAGAAAGCAATCACCAAAGTAATTATTTCCTCAGAACTGGTGTAAGCCCATTATAAAAAAGCATACGTCTAAAGAGAGAAAAAGTTAGTGTACTTGTATGTGGGGAGAACACAGGCCTTTGAAGTCAGAGAGGCCTACCATGACCATAGCCTGACCTTCACATTACAGACTATATTACCACACGTACACGTTCTTTGAGGCAGCTCTGCAGCTTACCAAATGTTTATTGCATCCACATATGTAGTGCATTATAATATATTTAAATAAAGGGTAATAAAACAATATTTCAGTTATATGTTTGCTTGTCTTCCATTTACCGGGTACTGTGATGTCAAACCAACTCACTACGTTTGTCAGTCCATAGTATTAAATGCCCATCATCAGAAGCTATTAATAGGTTAAGTGGCAATAAAGAAGTGTGCCTGATCTAGATCACAGTGGATACAAAGACCAGTCTCAGCTGATGTGGGCAAGAAGATGGTTTCTATGCCTCAAAATATTCAGCCTCCAGTTTTGTGAATCAATAACCAATAAATGTGACCAGATCTCTCAGACTGAATATATTGTAGATTTTACAGGGAAGATCTACCTACAATTTACCAAAGTAAATTAATATTTTAAAGTTAATGAAAATATGTATTAGTGTTTTGATACATGTATAGCATGTAATTTTTGGTAATGAAAAGGGAAGTGGAATGTAGCTAAAGTCCAGAATCTTTTGAAATAACACATGTAACTGTTTTGGAATGGATCAAATTTATTTCTATTTTTTTTGGTTTTTAATTAAAAATGGAGATGAAAACGATGACGTTTACTGTGACTTCAGAATTCATTTACTGCTCCAGCTACTAAAATTATCCACCACACATACACACAGTTCTTAGTTGCTCACGCTAGTCCACCTGCCAGGTGATGTAG